ATCTGCAGTTAGTAGTTTAATGTACGCAACGCTATGTACAAGACTTGATGTATGCTTTGTAGTGGGAGTGGTTAACAATTATCAATCAAACAGTGGATTGTATCACTGGGTAGCAGTCAAATATATACTCAAATATCTGAGGGAAACAAGAAACTATATACTGGTATACTATGGTAAGGATTTGATTCATATTGGGTACATAGATTCTATTTTTCAATCATATAGAGATTGTCAGAATTCAATTTTAGGAGCAATATTCACTTTGGGAAGTGGAGCCATCAAATGGAGAAGTGTGAAACAAACTTGTATTGCTGACTCAACCATGCAGATTAAATACATAGCAGCTTGTGAAGCAGTTAAAGAAACAGTTAGGCTTCATAAGTTCTTGAAAGATTTGGAACTTGTTCACGAAATGCATGAATCAATCAAACTCTATTGTGATAACAGTAGAACAATGGCTAATGCAAAAGGACCAAGGAACTAGCGAAGAGGAGACATTTTAGTTGAGAATATCACATATGCGAATACTATTGTTAATCTGTTTACAAAAACACTGCCAGCTCATAGTTTTTAGCAACACCTTGAAGGAATTGGACTTGGAGATATGTCTCATTTACTTTAGGGCAAGTGGAGATTGTTAGGATATGTGTCCGTTAATAAATTAGTTATAAATATTTGAGGACATTTAATGATATTTGTGAAATTATTTCAGTATCTTTTGAATGTATGCTTAAATGCTTTATAAATATCAAAAATCTATTGATTATTTATATTTAACTTTAAATATTGCGCATAAATGATATGTACATGAGGATAATATTTAAAATGGAATAATCTAAATTTTTCTGTGATTAAAATTAAAGTAGAGATCTTTAATTATGATCATCAGTGTAGTTCATTACATTCTGAATGAAATAATCTTATCCAAATTGTTAATAATGTGATTATTGGAATGAAAGCAATCTACACATAATTTACATATATAGGATAGCAGCACGATTAATAATGAATCTCTAGTAAAATTCGTTTCACATGGAGTATTCAGTTTTGATCAATAATGGTCATAAATGGATCGATCTTAATTCAGAGTAATTAATAAACTCATATTTATTAAGTTGTATTTTTTGATGTGCTGGGTAATGACTTAAATTAATAGTGCCAAATGCTTAGTACGTTAGAAATACAATGAGATAAATAGTGCGGAATATTAATATACATGAAGAAATCCATTCCTTCGTAGAAAAGTAGATAGATGGTTCCCGTAAGTGTTGATTCATGACTTGAATAATAAAAGTGCTCAATTTTATGATTAGATCATAAAATATATTATTCATTAGAGTATCAATGGGACTTATGGAGAAAAATATAATTAAAGAGGTTTACGGATAAATACCTAACTTCAATTATGAATCGTTTATGGAGGATTGATCAATATGAAATGACTATATCAATGGACACTTCAAATCTATTGAATATAATTTGTTTAATAATTTTATTATTGCATTCCAAAATTTTTGGGATTAATAATTTTGACATATTAATTAAAGTTTTAATTAATTGTCATTATTATTGGATCTTAAAATTATAATGTCCATAGTTCCTCTCGTCGCCTTCATTAAAATTACGGGCCTGTTTGAGCCATATTATTCCAAAAAAATATATTTTTAATCAGTGATTTGATATTATTTCAATCACACATTCTTCAATAAAATAATATTACATGCAGATCAAAAACTTTTCCTTATTTTTTAACTATACATTTCTCATCAATACACTATTCAAGAATATATTATTACCAAAATAATGTGGCTCAAACACCCCCTACATGAACATTATTTTAGTTGGGTTTGATTAATTAATTTTGAATTGATTTTCCCGTATTAATTAATTGGATTAATTTTATTTTACATAATATGATTATTTAAATTGATTTGAAATTATACAGTGTGATAATGATCACATTATTATCTGCAACATGGAGTTTCCATTTAAATTCAATGACACGTGGATAACAATAATTAATTAATAGTTAATTGTATGCTGTGATAATGATCAGATTATTATCTGATACACGGAGTGTCCATTAAAATTCAATCACATGTGGATAATGATAAATAATTAACTTTTAATTGGTTAAATCAATTTTGAATTGTTATCTGATAAGAGAATATGGAAGAGTTCTCTTCCAGTAAAGTGGCACCACCTCATCCTAGTGATAGGTGTGATTTTGGTTTTTTTAATTAAATTGTTAAATTAAAAATTAAAATAAAGCATATTTTTCAACTATAAGTAGAACTCATCAAATACGTAGAAAAGAGCACGCAGAACATAGAAATTTACGTGAAATACTTTTCTGAGAATTTTTTCGCTTCTTCTCACTTTGTATCATGTGTTGAGAACACAAAGTGAAAGTGAGTGTGTGAGTCAAACCCAAATTTGCAACACCAACTCATTTGTTCATTGTAATCGGAGATACTTCGAGAAAGAATTATGGAGTTTTTGGGAGATTGACGATTTTAGAGGGGGGGGGGGGGGGGGTTTAGGATTTTTTTTTTGGGGTGGGGGGGGGGGGGGGGGGGAGGTTCAAGAGTTGCATCCTAGACGATCACCTTTATAATTTTCATCTCTTCCTTAATGACATCTTGATTAAGTTAATATGTGTATTGTCGATTTGAAAGAAATTTCTTTACAATGTGATTAATAGTCTGACCTCTATGTACCTGCACACTAGTACGTGAACTGTTAACACAAGATCATCAAGCCTAGAGAAAATAGAGGACCGGTTACTATAGATACTTGACACTTTGACTGCCAAGTTATCTGTCCATACAAATTGTATAAAGGGAATAGAGTGTGAAAAAGACAAGCAAGAAGATATTTGACTGGCTTTTCGATGTGAAAGTAATAGCATTCCTTTATCGTGTGCCTATATTTATAGGAGAAAGATTTCATGGGAGCAAATCTTGAAGCATTAGTCTTAATCCAAGTGTCATGATGTTCCCATTGGTTCGCGTAACAAGCTTCACAATTATTGTAGGTTTCCATGAGCTTGTTTCCTGTCCAATTGGATTTCCTTGTACAGATTGATAACGGAATACTTTCCTTGATTCTTAAAGATTAGGCGTGGAGTTAAAGAACCTCATAAGATAGTTTCCTTATTGAAGATTTTTTTCCTTATAAGTATGGATGAGACTACGAAGCTTGTTTCACCCAAGGCCATCGGCCATCGCTAGTTTGACTGATGAGCAATATTGCATTAAAACCAGAGGATAACGCTAGAGGCGAGGATGGTGCCATGGTGGTGAATGCGTCAAAGCCTTCACTTGACATGATGGTAAACATGTGGATAGTCACATTCCTTGTAACTGAGAATTCACATGGCATTCACTTCCATGCTAACATTCGCATGGAGCCCCTCACCAGGTCAAGGTGTAACAAATATGTGGATGCGACAGCATCACAAAAATGACTTCTATGAACAGCTTCAAAGATAAATCTACAATTCAATTATGTAAATGAAGAAAGAATAATCATCCATCTATAATATATCCATCATAATTTTATTTATAGATAAAAATATAATAGGGATGGCAACAGGGTGGGGCCCTTTCCTTGTTTAGTACCCGTTTGAATATTTTTTTTTTTTAATTTTTGATAATTCATTTTATTGCCTACATTCAGAAAAATGAGATAATAATATAGTTATTAAAAATTTTAATTAATTTATTATTTTTAAAAGTTAAATTATTGAAATATATTTGGTATACTAAGGCTTTATTGTTTATTATATTTCTTAGATAATCTTAATTACTATCTTTTATTAGAATTAATGAAATTTTGTGAAATTTTTCATTTAAAGTATTGAATTCTTGAAAAAAAAAAAAGTTAAATGGGCAGGACAAGGTGGGAAGGGGTGGGACCCTTGTTACCCGTACTTGTCCCAGGGTAAAATCTCCTATCCCGTCTCGACCCAAATACCCGATTAAACAGATAATCCCATCGTGGACATCGAGTTTGACGTATTTTTTGCCATGTCAAGTTTATACTAAAATTTGGGAAGAAAAATAAGTCCATGTTTAATGAGGATTAAAATTAAAATTTCCGTAAAAGTTGGTGAATATGTGATTAAAGTAAAAGTTTACACTCTTTTGATATCCAGCTCCATAGAATTTAAAGGGGCCCACCACTCTCAATATCTTCCATATTGCCCACTCCGTAGATTCTGCAGGGTTTGGACACAATCCGAAAAAACCGCCAACATTCTTGGCTGCATAATTGCACCTATGTCCAAACAAGTCACAACGTGCAACGGTCACCCTAAAGGATCTTATCATACATTCAAATTTAAAATGGAATATATTTGAGAAAAAATTGATTTTTATAATTCCAATAAGAAAATCATATTCAAATAAAAAAATATTAATTTGATCCAATTTAAATAAATGAAATTAAGATTTTGGCATCGTTGAATCAACTAGTGGCTTAAAATTTTATTGTAAAAATGTGTTGTTAAAAAAATTTGAATTTATGCGTAAAATATTTTATTGTGTGAATATGTGGTTGAAAATTAGTTTTAAAATAAATTATCTTAATAGTAGACAAATTGGGTTCAAAATGTGAATTTATTTTAACTTCTGATTTTTGAAAAATTCCTTTATAATTGCGTTAGCTATATATGGGCCTGTTTGGGCTCGATTTTTTCACCCAAAAAATTGATTTTTTGACCATTGTTTAATTATTCCAGCCGTCATATTTGACTTCTTCTCTCACAAGTGGACCCCACTTTTCTCCTAACAGTCAAAAAATCAATTCTCAAAATCACTTCCAAACAGGCTTATGGAAATTTGAATGTACCCCGTTAAGCGAAACGTCCTTCCGTTACTTTTCTCTCTTTCGAACACAAATCAATCCCCGTTATTCCGAACCACTCGGCTCGGAGGGCACGAGCCTGGGGTTCGAAGATTCCGAACCCCACATCTCCCAGCCGTTAATTAAAACCCTTCGATTTTCTCATTTTCTATCCTTGCAAGAAGGAGAAACAGAAGTATTTCGAAAGGCATTGAAAAACCTTTGAAGTTCAAAAGAAGTTCAGATTGCCGGCGATTGAAATTGGAGTTTTGAAGGATGGCTGACCACGTTGATGACCACGAGAAACACGAATCGGCCGCTGAATCACTGATTGATAAGATCACTGATAAGTTTCATGGCGACAATTCTTCGTCATCGTCTGATTCGGATGACGAGAAAGACATCAAGGTGACGACTGCAGCGGTTAAAGCAAAGATCTGTCGTCTCTTTGGCCGCGAAAAGCCCGTGCACAAGGTTCTAGGCGGTGGGAAACGTAAGAATTTGATCTGTAATATAGTTGATGATTTTACACTTAAATGTTTGTATATATACTATCATACCAATTGATTAGAGCTTAAACTTGATAAATATTAAAATGCACATATAAAGGTCGCTCAATTGAGTTTTTTGAATGGATACTTAGAGTTAGAAATTCATTGGAGAATATACATTGAAAACGTTCCGTACTTTTTATGTAGTGTTGACATAGTTCTGATCTATTGTACTCCAACGATGGGTCATTGATCTCAATTGTGTGAAACATGTTAACTCTGTATTTCTTTTATATTGTTGTAGTCCTTGTGTGAGCATGTTCTTGTTCTTTATATAGGCAAATGCTTTAATTACTTACGTATTTCATAACTGTATATATTACAAACAGACGTCTTGTCAATGTGCGTTCAAATTTGGCAACGAGCGCTATGATTTTAAATTGGCAAACGTAACCTTGTAATTGTGATTTATTTATACTGTATTCTTTCTTTTGCCTTTCTCACTGTTCTTTTTGGATGCATGAAGAATGGGTTGTGTGATCTGCGGAATGCAGAAGGGGTCGGATTATGTTTGTTGGTACATGCCTTGAATTTTCTTTTATTGTTCGTTAGATGATACTTTTGGTGTCCAAGTTCTTGATTAGAAAGTGCGACAGATTGCAAGCACAAATGTAAAGAAAAATAAGATCTGAGAAGCATGTTAGTAGACATCCCTTTCTCTTGCATCATTTGGTGCACATTAAATCGGTCTAATCGGAATGCTGGAATTATCTCTTGATCTTTATGCAAATGCATGATCTTTGTACTCTATATATTGTTGATCTTTCCATTATGATTTCTGGCAGCTGCTGACATTTTGCTATGGAGGGACAAGAAGATATCTGCTGGAGTGCTTGGCGCTGCCACTGCAGTTTGGGTGCTTTTTGTACTGCTTGAATACCATTTGCTCACATTAGTATGTCATATTCTAATTCTGGCCGTTGGAGTTCTTTTCCTGTGGTCAAATGCATCCACCTTCATCAATAAGTAGGCCTTCTGACTAATGCTTGGTGTTTTTTCTTTTCCTTCCTCCACCCCCCCGGGCCCCCAAATCTGACGTTTCAGTTTATCTACTAGGTCTCCACCTCAAATCCCCGAAGTCATCCTACCCAAGGATATTTTCGTTGGTGTAGTTTCTGCTTTTAGGATCGAATTTAACAGGGCTTTCGCAATTCTTCGAGATATCTCATCTGGGAAAGATCTGAAGAAGTTCCTCACTGTATGTCAATCTTTTGGTTCTTTTAAAGTCGTTTAATATAAGTTAGTTTGATCATTAATTTCTGCTTTTTAGGTAATTGCTGGCCTCTGGGTACTTTCAATTCTGGGAAATTGCTGGAACTTCCTAACCTTGTTATACATATGTAAGTAGCTTGTTAACCTTCATTTCACTATCAGTCTCATTCTGCAATTATAGCCCCTGTTTGACAGCCATTTTTTGGGGAAGAATGAGTTTTTGAATTGTAAATTTTTGGAAAATGCATGGTTAAAAAGTAGGAAGAAAATTTTAGGTTTACGTGAAGAATGTTTTATTATGAGAATATGTAATTGAAAATGAGTACGAGGAAAAACGAGTTTTGAAAGAATGGCTACCAAAGGGGGGTATAATTATCATTACCTTTTTCTGATTTTGTTTTCACGGATTTCCCCTGCTCTCCGACACAGGTTTTGTTTTGTTGCACACGGTGCCTGTGCTTTATGAAGCATATGAGGACCAGGTTGATGCTTTTGCTGAGAAAGCCAAGGCTGAGATCAAAAAGCAGTATGCTATGTTCAATTTCAAGGTTTTGAGTAAAATTCCCAAAGGTCCATTGAAGACCATGAAGCTGGCTTAGTCCTGCAGATGTGGTGTTCCAAGGTTTTTGCAGGGACATGTTGGCTGTCTGTTTTTCTTCTCTTTGTTGTTTTGACTCATTCATTTGATAGAGCTCGTTGTACTGGTTTGTTTTTGACTATTTTAGTTCGTAATTTAAAAAAAATTAAAAAATACATATATATGCTATTTTGTGAGGCAGTTAACATAGCTGCAAATTTCTATACTGCTCGTGGATTAGTGGCTTATTTACTGTGAGCGTAAATTATCCCTTGGAATTCATTATTCATCCAAAATTCATGTTTATATAGTTTGGGTTGCTTTGGAAAAGAGTTATGTTCTTTATCCTTGGACGGGAGCCATGTTGATGTTTATCGACTCATCCAATCTAGTTCTTATGAAGCCATGGTTTTTTTTTACTGTGTTTTTCGTGCTAGTTCTTAGCTGACCATAGTGGGTAGTGTACATGACTGACCGGCTAGAATAATTAGATTTTAGTTTTTCCCTTTTCTCTTTATCAGGCGTCCATAACAGCCTCTAGATCGGACAATGTGAAGGGAAATCCTTTTTTTTTTTTTTTTGCATTATTTCATGTCTAATTGGAGCTAAGCCTCTTGAAAAATTCAAGTTTGGAAGTTCATTGCAAGAAAATGAAATGTAGGTAAACAAAATGAATAAATCTTTGCTTCTGGTTGAATTGACTTGACTTGACATATTATAATGATCTTTGGCATCATTTCATGTCAAATTGTAACGAGTTGAAATTCCTTCTGGAATGTGTAGCACGGCCAACAGATCTTGTCTTCACTGACGTTAACATGTAAGGCTTTCACTCACTTAGACAAATCTTTAGACGCACGTAGCCTTCTATAATGGTGGAGAGGCGACTGTGAGCCCTCGATGGTCAAGTGAATTAATTGTGAATATGTATTTGGGTGTGCCATGGACAATGAATGTGAGCCAAAAAGATGTGTATGATTTTGAGTTTAGAGAGAATACCAAGAAACATTATTATTGATGATGTAAAATGATGAGATTGAAATACGTTTGTTGTGGAGATGTCAAATCAATCAATTGTATGAAAGATCTTGTATGACGCCCTCTTATATGAGGCGAAGCTATTAAGATGCCTTATAGAACAAAGGCTTATTGCTTCTAAAATAGACTGCAGCATATCGTGGCACCTCGCCTCGAAGGTTTAGCCTCTACATGCCACTTCGATTATAGTGATTGCATCACTTTTGCTTCCTTTATTTTATGGCCTCAATTAGGCCAGGTAAGCAAGTGATATGGAGTGTGTTCTTTAGGTGGCTTCTTGCTATTTTTTTAGTTGGTTGACACGTGGCCAATAATATGAGCATCAGATAGGATGAAGCGTAACAGTAGTCCCTCAAGTTCATTATGAATATTCGTACAAGACAATCTTTAGAAGGAGATTGAAGTCATTAATATATAAAGAGAGAGACCTTATGAATTGTCCCTGAAGTTTAACTTAGCCAAGGTAATGCAGTAACTGATGTTCAATTTCTGTTGAATGTGGTTAGACAAATAATGATGCCATAGTGCGTCATCTTTTGTGGTTGCCGAAGTATTGTAGTGTACTACAGTAATACTCATTCCAAGGTGACACTAGGCGAAGCGGATGGTTGTCTTGTTGCGACGAACTTAACAATTTAGTTCCCCAAGTCTAGACATGTTCATATATGTACTACATGGCTTGGGTTGCTGATGAGGCCTATGTCAAAGGCAATTAATGATGGAATGAAATTCCTTTGCATTGATGAAGCAAGTATAGGGGCAAAGTCCCAGTTTAGGATGAGGCCTTGTATAACAAGTGCTGATGTTGAGGCGAGATCCAATATTTCAAGGATGAGGCCCCTACGCTCGGAGAAAATAGTTTTTCGAAGTTGGAGTCCCATGCTCCCGAGATGAAGCCTTTTCGTTTAGTAGAAGTGTAGTTGCAGAGGCGAAGTCCCATATTTCAAAGATGAAGCCTCTGAGAGAAACTGAAACAGTAGATATAAAATACAACCATTCTACAATTACATCACTTTTCACAGTACACACACATGCAATTGGGTGGGGTCTACGACTAAAATAATCGTGGACCCCACTCTTGTGAGGAAGTGTGAAAATTATTGTAAAAAAAATGTTGTACAAACAACATTTTTATACAAAGTAACACCTCTGATGTTAAACGACATTAATAGGACGCTTGTCAATGATTTGAAAGGTCGCATATTTTCAATAATCTGTAGAGGAGGCGTTGCATGCTTACAATGCCCACGTTATTGAAGTATTTAATGTATAATGACGACTTGGCCTTGTGTACTCCGAGGTGATGCATCTTTACTCATGTCTGAGGTACAAGTCTTCATCCTAATCTTTTATTCAAATATTAATATGTGCCCTTTCTATTCAACGATTTGGATGAAGCTAGAAGATCAAAAGTCCTATTCAATTCTAGTTTGATCCAGTGATTGAGGTGAATTGTCTCTACCTATAAATGGAGGCCTTTGCCATTTTACGTTTTTTCTACTTTGCAAAATCCGAATACTCAAGCATCCAAAAAGATATTTAAAGATTTCGACAAGAACTTTTGAAATTTTGGTCAGTGAATATTGGGAATTTTGTTTAGAGTTCGACAACATTGCATGTTTTAAGGTAAAAACTTTAGATTTCTCATTAATTGTACAATTTATTTCATGACACTCAGTGCCACTTAGACTGATGTTGTAATATGAATGGTGCTAAATAGCATTACCTTTTTCATTATATCTTTTCTTTCATCTTTCCAAAACTTTGAGCATTTAGAAATGAGTTCTTATTCTGGTGAGGAATCTGGCCATAAAGGGGTAGATTTTAGGATTATAGCCTCCAAGGCGAGAGTCCTTAACTTTACCAGGATTCAGGACCTCATCGAGGCAATGGGTATAGAGCATAGTATTTGGACGATATAGAAGGTCCCATTAGAATATAGTATCAATTGAGGAGATATTGAGGTGCCCTAAGTTATAATGGAGAAAATAGAAATTAGGGAAACGTTTAAGATCCCTAACACCATTGAGTTCTTAGTACCCGAACCACATAAGATAGCTTTCCATCCAAGGCCGTGGTGCGTGGCTGTAAGCAAGGCCATCTCTAAAGAAGGGATGTCTAAGACTCTACATCTTTACCCTTTGTTTAGAGGGTGCTGAGGTTGTAGATGTTAAAACCAACCCAATCGAATGGTGAGGGCTTACTTCCTTTAGAAGGAGGTCTCCTTGGGCGAGAACATGCCCCTTCATGTATTCCAAACCATATTTTAGTCCCAAACGTAGGGTAAAGGGGAAAGCTCGAAGGGTTGGTATTAGATGACCCCCTGGGGGTCCCATTCTCCATTTGTCTTAGGCCTTCCCATCTCCATAAAAGGCTGGAAGGAGACTTGGTTTTGGGCCAAAGAAAGATAGCAGACTGTGGGTGGCGGTGCGTCCCTGTTCTATTTGTAGTATCCCAATATTCAGGTGCTAGTGAGTTCTTCTCTTAATTGATAGTTGTTTAATTTTCTACTTTATGTAATTTTTATTTTCTCTGCAGCGTCAATATATTGCTTCGAGTTATCTACTTTGAAGTGGGGAATTATTGAAGACATCTACAAGCTCCCATCCAATATGCTCGTTGTTTCTCACCTTATAGACCGAGTTCTTTTTTAATCCATTTCGACCTAATGGCTTAGAGCTTTACTTCGGCCATATGTATCTCTTGTTGAAAATTTCTAAGTGTTTACTCCTCTATTTAATTTGTAGATGACCATACCAAGAAAGTATACCCAAACCTGGATTAGAAGGTTCGTGAATGAAGACCTCCACTCATAAAGGGACGAGCTTGATAACATCAGGCTTGCCCATTATCATAATCCCTTAGCTAGGAAAAGGTCCTAACAATAGAAAGAAAGGCCTCAACAAGAGAGGCCTAAGAAGAGATAAACGTTTAAGACAGCTAGAGCTTCTTCTTCATCAATTCCAACAGTTGACAGTTGTCCACCTTCCGCCACCTCTTGTCGAAGCCAAATCGTTGTTCCCATTGCTATCCCCAACATTACAATAGAAGTAGATGAGGTGTAGGTTCAAGATGAGGCTTTGAACAAAAGAGGAAGTGAGTCACCCAACATGGGCATTTTGGTAAGGCCCAAAACTTCTTAGAGGTCTGCACGAAGAGATTGCCCATGATGCCCTTACGACGTTCTAGGGTAAAGTGTAGTGAGCAACTACTTTTGTCCATAAGTACTAGACCGAGGGGTGGCAGAATCACGTACCTTTTTGCGATATTGTTAACCTACTCGTGGTCATCAATGCTCAAATGACGACGCATTGAAGGTCAGAATTATGGCTCAGGGGGTACTGAAAGACCTTTAGAAGAAGAATCAAGAGTTCCTCTGAACAACTAATAAGGCTGAGGAGGAGGCAAAAAAGGCTGAGCCGAAAGTTGATGTGGCTAAGTCAAAGCAAACCGAAGCTCAAGTGAAGTTGGACCCTGTTGTAGTAGAAATAAACCATCTGAAGGATGAAATCAACTTGTCTCGTCCCAAGGTTAATTTTTTGATGAAGCGAGTGGAGATCTCTAATAACCATTAGAAAGTGGCGGTCGAAGCTTTGGAAGTCGCTATTAAAAAGATTAGGGAACTGAGGAACCAAGTGGGGGAGTGACTGTAAAAGCAAAGTTTTTGAGGCATAAGCTTCAATGGCTAGGAAGTACATGATGAAGACCCGGATTCAACACTTCATTTCACTACAGAGAATGACGACTTTGCAAGTCATTGAAGGAGGTTCGTGTACAATGAGCTGCTGATTCGAATGGAGGAACTTTATTTTTCAATACCAATGCTTTGAGTGAGGAGTTCCTTCGTTGGAATTGGTTCAAAAATAGCCGAAAATTGGTCAAGTGTAAAAGTGGGAAATGAAAAGGTGTGACTTCATGTCAAATTTGATCAAATATTCGGAATTGATCTGATGATCAAATTACAAAAGTAAATAGATCAACTTATTCTACTTGTCGAGTAGATCGTCGCAGTATATTTGAAATCTCAAAATCAATTCCGGATGAATTAGAAATTGCGATCCAAAGTTGAAAGAAATGAAGTGTAGCAACTTTTCAAAATGATACATGTTTTGACCAAGTGTTGCAACTTTTCGAAAGAATGCATGTTTAACCCACACTACATCATTTGTTTCCTTTCTACATTTATAAATAGGACCCTATAAACACATTTTTGGGTACATCAATTGCATTGAGCACTAATTCTCTTCTTGCAATTCTCTTCT